CAAAAATTTGGAAGCACCAACTCCTGTGCTCTGTGGAAGGCTGAATTTACTTTAGGAGTGAACGATGGATCCAATCGGAGAATCACTCTGTCTGTATGAAACACGCACAGGTCCTTTCTCATTGACAATGCCGCCAATTCGGAAATCCTCCTTGCTGATGTGATTGCAATTAGGAAGGCCACCTTATATGTCAGGAATTTAAGACTAGCAGTTCTTAAAGGCTCGAACGGGCCAGTTGTAAGTGCGGTTAACACCTTGTTGAGGTCCCAGGTGGGATAGTGGTGAACTACAGGAGGTTTGCAGCACCCTTAAGAAAGCTGAGGACATGTGGATGGTGCGCTATGGACCGGAGGTCACCCCAGGCTATCACCGAGGCTAAAGCCGCCACCTGTCTGCATAAAGTATTTGGAGATAGGCCCTTGGTCAACCCCTCCTGTAAAAAGTCCAATAATTGTCCTATTGATGGGGCAGTTGGGTCGATCTTAGACCCCTGGCACCAGCGACAGAAGGCAGACCACGTGGCCTCGTATATACAATTTGTTGAGGACCGTCTGGATGCTTGAATGGTGGCAATAGCATCCTCTGAAATCTGTTGGAACCTTAAATGGCTCCGCTCAACCTCCATATGGTTAGACTGAGCCATTGTGGGTTGGGGTGAAGTATTGGCCCTTGGGAGAGGAAAACCTTTGACAGTGGAATTTTCCAAGGTTGTTCTCTCGACAGGTCCTGTAAGTCTGCGAACCACGTTCACCTGGACCGGTAAGGGGCAACCAATATCAATTGCACTCGTTCCTCCAATAACTTCTGGATCAACCTGGGTATTACCGGGAGTGGAGGAAACACATATAGCAGTCCGGGAGGCCACTGACAACGCAGGGCATTGACGGCCTCTGCCCCCTGAGTCGGGTACCTCTCAATTGGGCATTGAGAGGAAAGGCAAATAGATCAATCACCGGTTGCCCAAACCTCCGCACTACTTCCTGGAAGACAGACAGGTGTAGGCGCCACTCTGCCTGATCTACCGTGGCCCTGCTGAGCCAGTCCGCTTGTGTGTTTAAGGCCTCTGCTTGAGCGAAAACAGATTGGCCTCGGCCCACTTGAACAACTTGGCCTGTTACTAAATAAGCCTTTAAAACCTGGTTCTTATCACATGAGCTAGGCAAGATGAAGACTCCTTATGGGATGTTAAAAGTTATTTTTTACAGAAACATGTTTTTTATTGTTTGGTATTGCAATGTTTTAAATTATCTCATATTGTATGTGGACCAGAGTTATAAGGAAATTGAGTGCTTTGTAAATTCAATAAAGAAATACACTAAATGAAAGACTGTTTTGTGTATTAAAGTAGTAACACTAACTTTAAAAAGGAGGGACTTTGCAAAAGAAAAGGAGGCAGTCAAATGAGACAAGGAGAGTGTCAGGAAACCTTATTGCATGAGCAGAAGGCAGCTAGCTTAGCAATGAATGTGGTTTTTTGTAGGTCACCTACAGATTCATATTTTAAATATAATTTAAAGGATATATTTGAAATGGATAATTAGTATCTAACACCTGTATTCTCTTATTAAGTCCCATATGCAAAAGACAACTGCTCATTTTCTGAGGTAGTTTGTTACTCCAAATTTAAATGTATGGCCTGTGACATGGTAAGGCTCCGCATACATACCTGTTCTTTAAATACAGACTCCCATTATCATCCAACTCCATGGGGACGCCTGATATTGCTAAACGACATTAAGGATCTAGCCACATATTTTCTTCCTCTCACTACCTTGCCAATCAAGTTCAAGTCAGAATGTTATGAATTCTCACATACAAAAACTCATGTCCAAGCAAAATAATGTGGTTAGGATGGCAGAAAATAGGTGGAAAAAACTTGGGGACACATTTGTCTCTTCTCTATGGTACATCTCCTGAATCCTTCATCAAGAGGAAAAATATATAAATGCAGGGATGGGATTCTACCAGTTCGGACCGGTTCAGTTGAACCGGTATTTCTGGCTAGCATTTGGCACTGCCCACCCACCCCTACTCTTTCTTGTGCTTTATTTTGTTGTTTAAGAGCACAGCTGATTCACACGGCAGAGCAGTTTGCTGTGCCTCAACTGTTTTATTCACAGGGGCTGCAGTAGAAGATAAGTATTAGAGCCGAAAATGGGATTTTTTAATGTGGAGCCTGCGTGTACACGCAAAGTGTGTGCTCACCAAACCAGTTGTTACACTGGTTGAATTGAACCACTGTATAAATGGCATCATCAATGGCCCAAGTGTAAAAGCCCTGCTCCATCCTGACTGCATCTGGAATGGTGTGCTGTGTTTTGATCTCCACAATACAAAAAGCACATTGAGGGACTGGAAAGGAGGACAACAAGACTGGTCAGGTGCTTGGAGGCTAAGTTCTATGAAGAGAAGTTAAAGGAATTTGGTTTAGCCTAAAGAAGAAAAAGATAGGAGGAAGTATGATAGCAGTTTATCCTACAAGACCCAGTGGAAGAAAGCTTAATAATGAGAGATCCAAACCTGAAATAAGAAGGAATTTCCTGACTGTGAGAGTAATTTAGCATTGGAATAGCCTACTTCTCTAAGTTATGGAGGCTCCATTACTGGAAAAAGGAAAAAATGATTTTTCCAGAATAATCTGAGAATATAATGTGTAGAAGAGTAGACCAGTACACCTGCAAGGCCCCTTCCAATTTAATAATTCCATGATATATTTTACTGAATTTTAAATATGCATAAATCTCTTTAAGAATTTCAGCTAGGAGGCAGGCTATAGATATTTCAAATAGACTTATAACTAAGACATTTCAAAAAGCTCATCTAAGACTGATTAGCTGAACAGTTTCCAATTCATATTTAAGGGCACTTAACTACAAATAAGTTTAAAGAAGTTTGCAGACTTAAAGAAGTAAAGCAAGATTTCTATGACTTTTACCTTGAAATCTATCATCACTGTTGCATTATCATCTTGCTTTTAAACAAATAAACAGAACAAAGATGGCTCTGAACGAGCTCTGATGCATATTCACATGTTGCTAAGCAACCTCAAAGCTCTTTTACTCTTTAAATCCAGAGAATTCATAATGCATTTATCCAATCTGACCATATGTTAGCTTTGTTTTACAGTATGCTATAGTGCAGAAAACGTGTTAGAAACTCGGGGGTGGAGATCAGGAGGCTTTAACTCCCTCCCTACTTTCCTGCCCTGGATAACTACATACTGCATCACATTATCGTTTTAAAGCCATATTAGAAAAGAGAAAAATGTTAAAATCAGTTCTGAACATGTATGCTCTTTATGTTTTACATCTTCATCATTAATGAAATGTGTAAGTAACATGCTAAGAAAAAAAGCAAATAACAATTCAGGCTGCATCATTAAAATTATAGCTTCCAAATTATTCTGTATTGGCCAAAACTCAGAGAAGGACAATGAAGCACTTTTTAAGTATCTGAAAAGAAGTTCTGTTCTTTATTATCCTAGCAGGCAGAACATAGAACAGTGTTCAAAATAATTTAGTCCCATAGAAATGGATACTTCCTTATATATTAATTAGTATAATAATGTCTTATATTAAGATGTTTTCCCTAGAAATAGATAAGTTCAAAGAGAGGCTCAGCAGCCATCTGTTGAACATGTGTTAATTTGCATAACCCAAATTAAGCAGGGGACTGGATCCAATGGCTAAAATGGATTCTTCCAACTCTGTGATTTTCTGATGCTGGATCAAAAATCAGTAATTAGTAGCAGCATATTGTATATGTTACAAAATCAAAAAACTAAAACTAGGGCCAAGGATGGATCACAATCCACTAATTAGCAGCAGCAAACTATATATGTTACAAAATTTAAAAACTAAAATTAGGGGTAAAGTCTAAAACAATTAAGTTCTATAGGATATAACACAAATTTTCAGAATAAAGGATTGTTTTTCTTCTGTGAAATGTAACATCACACTGTATCATTGCTACAAATATCATTAGAAGTTTTAACATATTGCAGATAGTGAGAAAGGTCCCTTGACTATATATTCAGGTATCATTTCCAAGATGGAAGGAATTTATTACACTGACCAAAGCATGATATCTAGGCCACCTAGAGGGAACTATTATTTACTCATACTAACAACTCACCATCACCAATTTTAGATGTTAGAAAACACACTCCCAATTGCATTTATTTTCATTCTCGATCCTAGCTTTGTAACAGTGTATTCATTCTCAAACTTCAACTTTAGTGAATTATTTGACAGTCGTAAAGTTGAGACAAACTAGTATCTATTCTTAACAAAGATGCCTTTTAAGGAGCTAAAAGGCAAAAAGCTAGAAAAAAAATATCCAGCAAAGTGCCAAACCGACAGAACATAATTCATCATTGAATTTAGAGCGCAGGTCCTAAAATGAGCACTGCCAAGAGAGACATCAACAATATCAATTACAACACTCTTGTACATCATTCTTCTTTTCACTGGCTTATCCATCAGCAACATTAATAGGCCATCAGCAGCACTACAAACCTATCGTCCTTATGCAGCTTGAAGGGTTTGACAGCAGCAGGCTTTTTACCTTTAAATGTGTAGCAGAATAAGGTAACATACAAGTTATGGTTCTTGTTATCTTTTTTTCCCTTCAATTTTTTTGTTGGTTCATACAGTTTTGGTAAGTCAGGGTTCAAGAAAATGAAATATTTTCTGTATGACAGATCACTTTCCAATATATGTACTTCCTATGGCCTCTCTCAAATCTTGTTCTCTACAATACATCAGTGGTAGCTAAATGAATCAGGGGGTGAAAAACATGTGGGAATTATAGTAGCTCAATGCTCCGAAAAAAATGAAACCAGGCAATTATACCAAAAGTAGCAATGAATTCTTGTGCAGAATTTCATTCATTGGAAATATCTCTCTTTTTTTTTTAGGAATTCTTAAGCCATTCTAAGCAATTTTTGCATTAGAATTGCAAAAATTCTATGCAATTTTTGCTATGCCACCCTAGTTTACCTGATTCTTAGGCAAGCAAATCTGGACTGGTCAGGAATACTCAAATTTAATTACTTGTTATTTTTTCACCATTCTGGAAGATTTTTGTTGCTGATATAACCTTTGAGAGATGCAGACTTCATTTCTAGAAAGCAAAGTTAACATAAAACATTTTCATATTTTTCAGATTAATGTTCATTCAAATGTTTATTTTAGAACTAAGTTTATTTTTTGTTTATTTTATTTATTTTTATTTGTCAATTGCTTACAAGATAATAGGTATAAGTAAAAACATAGTTATGAATACATGGATACATATAAGAAAAATAAAAGAAACAATAGGACAGGGATGGTAGGCACGTTGGTGCGCTTATGCACGCTTCCCTACAGACCTCTTAGGAAAGGGGTGAGGTCAATAGTAGACAGTCTAAGGTTAAAGTTTTGGGGGTTTGGGGAAGAAACCACAGAGTCAGGTAGAGTATTGCAGACATTGACCACTCTGTTACTGAAGTCGTATTTCCTGCAATCAAGTTTGGTGCGACTAACCTTGAGTTTGTATCTATTGTTTGCTCTTGTATTGTTATGGTTGAAGCTGAAGTATTCATTGACAGGTAGGACATTGCAATGTATGATTTTATATACTATACTTCGATCGGACCGAAGGCGGCGTAGTTCTAGTTTTCTAGGTCTAGAATTTCAAGTCTGGTGGCATAAGGTATTCTGCAATGAGTAGAGGAGTGGAGAACTCTTCTTGTGAAATATTTCTGGGCTTTCTCAACTGTGTTAATATCAGATATGTAATGTGGGTTCCAGATTGATGAGCTGTATTCGAGTATTGGTCTAGCAAATGTTTTGTATGCTCTAGTTAGTAGTGTAATATTACCAGAGAAAAAGCTACGTAAGATTAGGTTAACAATTCTTAACGCCTTTTTGGCTATGTAGTTACAGTGGGCTCTAGCACTTAGGTCATTAGAGATGAGTACTCCAAGATCCTTGACAGAGTTTGGATCATCAACAAGGTCTTGACTATTCAGACTGTATTTTATTTTCTGATTTTTTTTGCCAATATGTAAGACAGAGCAATTATTTGTTGAGATTTGAAGTTGCCATTTGTTTGACCATTCTGATACATAGTTGAGGTCTTTTTGAAGGGTAGCCGTATTGTCTGTAATGTTGAATAGCTTTACATCATCAGCGAATGCAGTTGCTCTTGATATGATCACAGAGGAAATTTATGTAGAGTATGAAAAGAGTTGGTCCTAGAACACTGCCTTAGGGGACACTACTGTTGACAGGTAGAGAATTTGATAGGACGCTCCCAATTTTGACCATTTGTTGTCTGTTTGACAGGAATGCTTCTATCCAGTTATGCAGGTGTCCAGAGATACCATAAGATTTTAGTTTTAGGAGTAGTTTGTCGTGTACTACTGAATCAAAGGCTTTACAGAAGTCTATGTAGATTGCGTCTATTGATTTGCACTGATCGAGTTGTGTAATTCATATGTTTTTGAAGTGTAAGAGTTGCAGATTACATGATAGTTTTTTCCTGTTTATTAGAGAGTAGGTTGTTTGTTTCTAAGTGGAGGGTGATGGATTGGTTAATAATTGATTCCATGACTTTACAGGTGACGCAGCATAAAGAGATTGGTCTGTAATTTTCAACTAGGCTGGGGTCTCCCTTTTTGAAGATGGGGATGACTGTGGCTTGTGACCGTAGTTTTGGAAGGAGCTGATCCTGAAAGATTTTTCAAAGATTATGCTTAGAGGTTCGGCTATGGCAGTGTATAGCTTTTTTAAGAAGCAAGCACATATTCTGTCCGGTCCAATGGATAGAGATAGTTTTAGATTGCGTCGTGCTTTTTCAACATTGTCTGCTGTAAAATCGATATATATTAGATCATTGTAGTTGTCTGTGGTTCGACTAGGAAATACTGGGCATGATCCATTGCTGTTTACAAATACTGAGCCTAAGACTGTGTTAAAGAGGTTGGCTTTAATAGTGTCATCGTTGCAGTCTTTGCCATTAGGTCCTTTCAGGGGTGGGATGGACCTTGAGTCTTTTAGTTTGTTGTTTACAAAATTGTAGAAAGCGCAGGTGGAATTGGTGCATAGGTTTTCTTCTTGTTTAATGTGATTATTGGTGCATTCAGTTTTTATCCGGTGGCATAAATTTTTGTATCGGCTTTTGAAGTTGGCAATGTGACCAGATTTGTTTTTCCGCCAAAGTGATTTTTTTTTGGATTGAAGCTCCCTTATTGTTATGGGTAACTTGTTTTTTCTGATTTTGGGAGTTGTTAATGGTACATATAGTTTGATGACTCTTTTGACTTCAAGTAAAAATATGTTGTAATGGTCTTCTACAGTATTGCATCCGGAGAATAGAAATTGCCAATCAAGGGATGAGAGATTGTTGTTTATAAAATCATGCCTTTTTTGAAGTTATAATTGGGGATTCCGTCATTGTGATGATTTTTGTGTGGACTTATGTTGAGACAAAAGTCAATCGTGTTGTGGTCACTGTTGGAAAAGGGTTCCTTAATTTGTATTCCATAAATTGAATCCAAACTATTGCAGAAGATGAGAT